TTGAACCAGGGACCTGCTTGCTGAGAGGCAGCAGCTCTACCAGTTGCGCCACAGTGCTGCCCTAACAGGAATTCATTTAAGCTTAAACGGGTGCATGAAACTGAGCGGAGGAGACAAAGGGAGGCGGAGGGGCTGTTCCCCTTCCTCCCTGCTGCTCATATGAGCAGGGCAGAAATCACATCAGATTTATTTAGAAAGTACATTTAAAAACAACAGCTGTTACCAAAAGTGTTAATAATAATAATCAATGGTACTAATTTAATGAATATGTACCATAATTTACTGGTACTATTTGACTTAAGTTAGTGAATTAGTGGTTAGCAAAGCTAACTTTTTGGTCAGCTAGAACACCACTGATTATAGCTTACAAATGATCAAAAATCAAAATTCAGCGTCTCGGAAAAATGTAGTAAGCCTATAAAGATTTTCTGTAAACTACTTTGCAGTTGAGCAAAAAACATTTTAATTTATGAAAATGCATCTATCAACCACATTCTTTTAAAATTTTGTCTTCAGCCAGAAGCATGTTTGAAGGAATTTTCATTGGTTAAGGTCCCATCACACATTTTACAGAACTTGTGTTGACTTGTTTAAATTTTTTCATTCATTCAACCTTTATTTAGACAAGTTAATCCCATTGAGCCTCGGGGACTCATTTACAAGAGAGACCTGATTTTAACAAAGAGTGATGACAACAATGGACAACAGCGACAACAGACAGTCGCAAAAGAGGCATACAAATTTATTATTATTATTTTTTTTACAAATCAAAACAAAATCGCAACCAAAAGGACAATCAAAAGGAAAAGTAGTGAAAACAAACAAACAAAAGAAAAAACCCAGCTAGATTGTAAGGCGGTGTAGAAAACTAAAAACAGGAACATGTCTGCGTTGGTTCTTGCCAGGAACTTAACAGATGTTTGAAGCCACTTAGAGAGGTCAAGGTTGAGAGCTTCAGGTCTTTTTGTAAGATATTCCAGGAAACAGGAGCGGAGTAGGAGAAGGCCTGATTGGATTCAAAGTGACGAACACAAGTCATATAATTTTGGTGTAAGTTTTGAATAAACTACCAGCATGCTGATCTAAGATGGCATATGTTTTTTTTATGCCAACACCAGAATTGTTCAAATGACAACAAAACAGTTTTCTACCCAGCAACTCATACGTTGGGAGTGGTAAAAGCTGGCTGTGGATTCTTTGGTAGGCAGGAAGACTTACTGGTCTGACAAGACTTCATCTGATATTAGTCAGATGTACACACAGTCTCACAGGACACCAAAAGGATCACATGTTTTATTCACAGTTTTTTCTTTTTTTTTAATTGGATTACACATTGACAGGTAAGACTCATAGCATAAATAATTTTTATTACTTTACATCTTTAAGGTGACAAACTAATCCATGTTATCTGTCTAAAGTGTACACTCATCCATGACTTCCAATGAGGAAACGGACGAAGGTGATTTTACCTCTAAAGCTGCTCTGTTTGTACAAAATGACAAACGGAGCACAGCTACAAGGTAGGAACGATACAACAGTAACGGACTGACTGTTCTCCAGCTCACAGTTCTTGTGTCAAACTATTCTGTACATTTTGTATTGAAGAACAATGTTAGAGGAGAGAGCAGATTCCTCTGTGCCAAGCTGTGTGACCCCGAGGTCTGACCAGTCCAAACATGAAGGGCATGAATTCAACGATCCAAGCATTGGTGTTTATAAAACGTAAGACTTTATCAGGTATTCAGTCATGTGGTAAATTATAAAAATAAATTTGGATCACGACCTGAAATGTGACTATTAAATGTTTATCTTATATTAAAGCCATTTGACAGCGAAGAGACCACACTCATTTATGAGCCACATCTCAATGCGGACTACAAGGTCTATGTCAGAGCCTATTGAGTTCAGAGGTGGAGGCTCCTCTCATCAACAAATGTGAGAATTTAAATCAGATGCTTATTGTGTGACTATAATCACAAAAGTAACTCAACAATAAAATGTTTTTTATGTTTATTTCCCACCATAAAATTTGTTTAGTGATTGTGTTGAAGTCAGGGAAGATTTTTTTTAAATAGTTAAAACTCTTGAATTCAGTTCGTTACCTGAAATGTAACTATTAAATGTTTATATGTTAAAGCCGTTTGACAGACGGGAAAGCAGATACATTGAACAGACGAATGTCTACGTGGACTGAGGCGTCTGAAGACGAACCCATCGAGTTCAATCATGGAGGTTCCTTTGATCAGTGAGAAATTAAATTACATTTTATCTCGTGACTGTACCAAAACACTAGTTTCACTTAGTAATGAAATCTACATACATTTATTTCACAAGCTGACATATATGATTAAATGTTTATGTTGAAGCAAAGGAAAGCAACTCTCTCAAGATGGCTTGGACAGATCCATGTTTGACTGGTCTAGAACTCTCCCTGTGGATGTCAAGACTGGACTGAATCCCAGTGAAACACGGTAAATATCTAAAACTCTCAGCCTAGTACTATTTTTAGTTACAGTCATTCATTACAGGAAACAACATTTCTTCAGGTTGCTGAACTTGAAGCAACATGACAACTTGATGGGGCGCCTTTTACAGGAAGAATTTATTTTTAGACAAACCGGAATGAAAGCAGGACACAGTAATTTACTGTAAATGCACTGTTGTGTAATGCTGAATAAGCATGTTACATACAAACCATGCAAGGCCGTAATATTTTCAACTATGTAACTTTAACATTCAGAAAGGAAAATGTCAGAAACTTCTAGCTAAACAAAGTCTGTATAACGTTGCTTTAAAAAACATTTAAAGACACACAAATGCTTTTCTTTCTTGTTCAGTCAGATTTTGGAACGTGACAGAGAAAATCTGATCTGATTTCCTCTACAACCATTACATGTACATTTTATTTTAAAATTTGTAGTGTTAACATTGTTTTTGTGAAGAAAATAGTGTATAAATTGCAAACATGGTGTAAAAAAAAAGTGATGTCCTTATGAAAGGTTACATTTTAAAACATGTCAGTGAAATCTGTTGTTGCCCTGTGACTTTTAGTCTTTTTATATTTTTCAGTTTTGGTCACACCACTTCTTGCACTCATCAGACGGACCTGGATCCTATTTTCAAGGTATAAGTATGATTTAAAAAACATTTCAAAATATTTTATCTTGTGTCATTTCCTTTGTTTTTTTTTTAAATTTATTTTATTTCATTCCATACCAGATCAATGAGTCCACTCTTGTAGGTTCAAAGCAACAATTTTAAAATAGCTACATACATTTTAGAGTTTTTACTTTTACTATGAAGATAATTTCATTGGTCTTAGTAGCAACATTTTCTTTGATCCATACAATGACAAAACAGCTGGTGCTGAGGAATAGTTTCCCGCAAGTTCAGACTGCTTTACCGTAACACAAAGTCCCGTAATTTAAAACCGGTTGTCTCACATTGTTGGAGAGTGTTTTTTGTTTTTGTTTCTTGAACTGGCAGCAGTCTAGCTGAATCATGTACATCACAATGTAAGATCCATTATCTGATAAACTCCAGTGAGAAGCATAGGGAACGAGTTTGTTGTTCCTGTTTTAAAAAAATGTATAAAGCATGAATGAAAGCAGTAATGAAGCTGTAAAACCTGTATCGATAACATTTTTGTGAATAAGTGCTGATTATTGTGTACTTTCTTCCCGATCTTGTATCCCCCACTTCATACTCAGCTGGTGACATTTCGTACTCAAGTCTTTGCTGCATACTCATGTTTTTCTGTATCCTTGTCCAAGGTTAAGGTTGAGATTTAACTGATTTAACAATAAGGGTTAGGGGACAGAAATTGGCAAACCATAGCATATTGACAGGGTGCGTTCCGGTAACTGTTTGCTTGGATCTGGTAACTCTTAGGCTCACTAATAATAAAGTTGTGAACAAATATGACTACCTTGAACTAATAAAACCAATACTGGACATGTAGACTGAAAATAATTACATAAACACTCATTTTAAATACAACAACATACAATTTGCCTCTTCAAGTAGCCTTTCCACATCTACCCTTAAATAAACCTCCGCCCCTAAGAGTGAGTGTGTGTGTGTGTGTGTGTGTGGGGGGGGGGGGGGGGGTGAGCTAACCAGGTAGTTGTACACGTTAACGAGCACACAGGCAGGCACCTGGAGTATTCATCTTTGGAGTTGGACAACAACAAGCAGGGACAGTATTGGGCTCGGTTCTGAGCCTGACGTCAAGTAAGTCGAGAGTCCTAAAGAGGAAAGATACAGATGTTAGAAAGTGTAAGACTTAGTATACAATATGATAATCTTTCCTTGGTATAGTCTGCCTTCAGCAACTGGTATCTTCACTGAGTGTTGGTGTTCTCACATACCTACTGGTTCCAAAATAAAGCCACTGTGACAGCTGTATGCCTCACATGCCTGGCAATTGTATGATTTGACCAAACATTTTCAAACACAAATACAAAATAAATATTTTTCACCAGTGCTCACTTCCCTTCACTGGCTCCCTGTATAGAATTCATTTTAAAGATTTATTGATTACCTTTAAGGTCCTGAATGGACAGGCTCCTGTAAACCTGTTTGACAACCTGCAGCCTCTTGTGCCCTCCAGATCCATTAGAGATAATGATATTTTGCTTTTAGCTTTCTTGAGGTCCAGGCTGGTCCACAGAATCGATCAGGTCTTTAGTTGGCCAGAGGTTCAGGTTGGTCCACAGAGGTGATCGGTTCTTTTTCAGTTGTACCTCCTAAACTGTGGGTCCATCTGCCCTTTCATATCAGACAGGCTTCAATTCTTAGTGTCTCATCTTAAACACATTTGCACCCACATAGCAAAATTGGTCTGGCCCAGTTCAGGTCCACACAAGGCAGTAACTCTCGGCCCACATACTGTAAAGAAAAACAGCCCTTTGGTGGCCCAGATGTGGTTTGCCAGAGGTGGGCCATGCATGGGCCAGCACCAGGCCAGCTGCAGATGCATAGATGGTCCGGTGCTGGTCCAGAACAGTTTCAGCAATGGCACCAGATATCAGTCTAAAGTATACCTTATAGTCATATATTGATATGTGCTGTATTCATACCACTTTAATGAGCCACCAATGTTGATACATTTGTTCAAATATTAATTTAGAAATTTACAACTCATTTCCAGTATATAATAAATGAATATCACTTTCAAATATACAACAACAAGCAGCACATAAATAGTTCAAGGGTTAAAAAGAAAAACAATACCCTTTTGTGTATCTGTATGATCACAATCAAACCTATGTTCTGCCTCCACAGTTTGCCTAAGCTCCCTATCTTCTTTACCATCAATGTGCATCTCTTCACATGCACCAGATCCTTCATAAGCCTTCCACCATATTTCTATCCTATTTTACACTGTTTACATTGTTCTGCTAACTTCCTAATGATTCTACAAGTTGTATCTTTTTCATTGCTCCTCTTCTCATATTGCTGATGTTTCTCCTTCAATGTATTCTCTATAACACCATCAGCTGGACATTTCAAATCTTAGAGCAAAGACAAAAACAAAACAATTTCTACCTGCTCGGATTAGACAAAGCTTCCAAAAATGTACCACCTTCTGTCATTTACAAACACAAAAGACTGGCAAATCTCCTTCATGTGCACCTGATCAAGTCTACCTTGGTGTAGGTCTTGGTGGCAGACAGATAGCTACATTGTTCAAACGCTGCTGTTTCACAGAGGAGCGAAGCCATGTCTTCAGCCTTCTAGAAGCTCTGAAACGTCTTTCAGTCTCAGCTGAAGAAGAAGTAGCCGGACCAACACCTCTACTTGTTTGAATAGAGCACGTACCTCTGGCAGCAGAGCGCTGAGTCTCTGCTACTTCACTAACTGTTGCTTCTTTGTAAAGAATCTCCTAATGTCCATTTTGTCTCTGTGTGTGTTTGTGTGTGTGTGTGTGTGTGTGGGGGGGGGGGGGGGGGGGGGGGGGAGGGAAGATCAGATGTAGCTAACAAATAATTGTCATCCAAAAATATGAATATATCCTAGCCTGTTATGTCCTAATTTTTCATTGTTTAGTTCAACAGTAATTTAACATGGCCTGGGGCTAGTAAAAAAAAGAACAAGGTTTTATCAAAAGCTGGACATTGTGGGATGTCAGTGGGAATGATGTTACCTCCTCCAGTTTTGAGTCGTTTCGGCTTCATGGCATGTGGTGCAGTGAGTTGTTGTAAGTAACCTGGAAAACACGGAGTGGACTTTTACCGGTTGGGGTATTCTCCTATTAATCAAGTGGAATGGATTTGTTCACAAAGCAATAGATTAATGTGTGTGTGTGTGTATGTGTGTGTGTGTGTGTGTGTGTGTGTGTGTGTGTGT